GATATTTGTTACAGACCACTGGTGTAATTCCCTTATTTTAAATAGAAACGTACATTTAAAGCCAATGAGTTCGATTCTAAACTGGGATAAGTGTTAAAAAACCTCTCATTCAAACCTTACTCCAGTGTAAGATGATTAGCTGTTTCGAGTTTTTGGCTTTTTACCAAAGTAAATGCAATTCAAATGGCTGGTGGCAGAACTGTGGAAAAATCACTAAGGGTGAAAATATAATTATAGCAGCATTTCGTCGTAAAATAAGTTCCTCTAAAAGTGATGAGCAGTTAAATCTTTGGCGAATCCAGTGATCAAATTCATTTGAAACTTCGGCTTATGCTTATGTTAGTGCATGCTGTGTCTGATTATTAATTAGCTTTAGCAGTCTACAATTGTACACCGGATTCATTTTGATGCGAATTTTTCTGTCACAGTCTGTTCTTCAATAGGTCATGTTTATACTGTGCATAATCTAAAATAAAGAAAATTATTCGAATTTAAAACCGTCGGGTACAATACCCAGCAGGTACATAATTAAAATGGTCTTCACCTTCAACAATGAATAGGCAATTATCTCCAAAAATATTGAGTGGGTAACAATGCAAACTTACCGCATTCCTGTCATAAATTAAGTCAGTGCTCTTAAAGTTTACTGGAAGACAAAAATGCTCCATTTCCAGACTGAATGCTGGTGTAACTAATCGTTTTTAGCGTTATTCCCCCATTATACATTCGTTTCCTTAGCGATTAATAACCCATTTGTAATTCCAATCGTAAATTATATTTAGTCGAATCCCAAATCTTTTGCCATTTATCTCTTTCGAGAGTTAGTGACCCTGCAGTGAGTGAACTTCATAGAGATCCCCAAATGGAACAGCAACTCGACATCAACAGTTTTACAACATTAGAACAATAATTGTGCTGTGAAGGGGATGGGATACATGTGGCTATGTACAAAAGGATCTTGTTAAAAAAAAATCCAAACAAGTAAAGGTTTCATCTGACAGCATGTGCTCCAATAAATAAATAAGATGAATATTTCATTTCAGAATTAGATCTCATACGAGAGGAAACTCCAGGCTGAATTTTGGACTACCTTACCTTAATGCATTATCCTGGAGCTGGAGCTTTTCCTCTTAAAAGCAATGGCAGATCATTTCTGGTGGCGCATTTAGAACGTTACTGATTCCTCTGGAGACTTGTAAAACCAGAGAACCTCAAAACCATGGCGATACAGAAAACTCAACAGGGGTGGCTTACTCACTTTCTGTTTATGTTCTCTTTTCAGTTCTGTTAACTATTGTAGTATTGTATGTTGCACTAAATACAAAAGCTATTTCATTTCTCATTTTTTGTACAGAAAATAGATAATGGATTGCTACGACATTTCAGCCAAGGTAAAGTTAATCAGATAACTGAAGATCAACTAAGTTGCAGCTAACCTGCAATGGGAAGCCAATTACTGAAAAATCTAGCCTGGAAACTATACCTGATTGAAGTAAAAGCTAGTTCTAAGAGATTACCTTGTCACAAAGTCCAGAAACATGGTTCCCTTAAAGATTCTAACAAAAAGAAATCAATCCATTTGCCAAAATTAGATGGTCATGATTACAGACATTACTCTCCACCAGTAGCTATTTTCATTACTCCTCCTGTCAGATCTTCCCCACCATAGCACCATGTGTGAAATAAAATGAACTTCAAAAATCAAATAGCAAAAACATCCCATTCAAAACTGCACAAAGTGTTGTGAAAGTCAACCTAGAGAAAAATTAACAATGGACTCTGTAGCAATAAACATGACAACAGCGTTCAAAGATATCCCTGATCAAATCGACTGCAATATAAACAATGGCATCCAAATGTATTGGACAGAGACTTAGATTTTTTTTGTTGAGGCCATAGTAGAGGAAGGAGAACAATTTCCTACACGTTGCTTCGGTTTTCCCATTGCTATTTTCCTCACCTATGGATATTTTTCAACTTCAGCCATTATAGATAACCTATATTCGAAAGCAAACATCCACCATTGCTTAAAAAGAGGTACAAAAGTTGTGCCAGGCTATCTATCACATATGATCCAGTTATTAAACGCACATATTTGCTTCTTGTGTGTTGAGATAGCCATCGGGAAACTTTTGTTCTGAAACAGGTGGGGAGGCGCAGAAAAGAGGAAAGAAAGACATCTCCATAATTATCAAGAATAACTAAATTTAACATGGTAAATGTTTAGTGCATTAGTATTAAATTAGTACAGCTATGGGAATTTAGCTAGAGGATCAAAGCTACAGCTAAATAGGCGAGTTTTCTTTTCAAAATAGCATTCATGTATACTGTAACTACTGTTTGTTTTCTTGTCACTCTAATGTCAAAATGTTTCGTGTGAACAAGGATATTGCTTTAAAATCTAATAAAAATATACTTGCACCTTATGGTCTTGTAGAATCCCAGAACTATACACCAGGGTGTTTGGTGACACAAAAATAAACTAATTCCTAAAGTTTAATGAACACGTAGAAAAAATTTATTTGCCCTTCAAGCAATAACAGTACTAATTTTTTCTACATTGCATTACATATTTGCTTGTTTAAGATATAACTTTATATTCAACATTAAATGTGAATAATATTTGAATCAAGTGTTACAAATTTTTAATTCTTTCATTTAATTTCCATAAGTTTGTTATTCCGGAGTCTGGATTACAGTAGTTTGTTATAAAGCCATCTTTGCTGTTCTATTGCAGTTTATTCATCAATTAGGACAAACTTTTGAACAGAAGTTTTTCTTGTAAAGTTTATTCTTTGCCGGTCTGATTAATTATGCACAACTTCTTGGAAATCCATTAGAAACAATGAACATAAATGATCTGGATGCTGAAAGCAACTAATCAATGAATAGACTTTCAATGGTAGAAATTAGATAGGGATAGAACATCAGAATGCAAGTTATTAGCATAAGGATTCAAATTGACTATGTAACTCAACAGACAAATGGTCTTTATTATTAAAGCATAACAGATTGAAAAGCATGCAAGAGATAAGCAATCGAATTATACAATACTGAACAATACAAGAAGCAACAGAATCTGGTAGAATTGGACAACTCACTTTCATTGTTCAATGGAATGAAGCAAGAATCAAAACTAGGTTCTATAATTTAAAACGTTGAACATAAGCTACAAATGGTAATCAAAGTCCATGAAAATGTAAAAGCCCAAACATATTTGAAACAATATTTCAGTTTTTGATTTTGTATTAAAAGTATGTCATTGATTTCAGAAATGGAAGTACTGTATCTTAATCCTAAACATAAACTGAATGGGTAAAAATTAAGGTATAGCATTTATACGTGAGGCATAGATGGCAATTTGGGTGGAAACTTCAATGATTTATTTTTAGAAGCTGTGGTTCAAGTATCTGTTCCGTATTTCCATATTCACAAGTGTAAAATCTTCCATGAACTAGAACAACCAGGCAGTATATTAGAATTTGTTTTTATTTATCCCTTGCATTAACAGTGCTTGATGCATTGGAGTGCAGGTACTGTTTTGTTAAGACCACTGAAAATGGGTTTATAACAAAAAACATTTTTTAAAAAGTGCCTAATCATTACTTGGAAGTACTTGATTTTAAAATATAAAATGGTCTTCAAGTCTTTACAGAACTATTAATTGGTTCATCAACGTACACGCGAATAAATTTAAAGTACATTCAAGAACTTTTTAAGAAGATATCCATTAGTGTCAGAGTCTAAATAAAAGACAATTTAAAGTGCCTCCTCATAGGACTGCAGTCAAAATTAGAAAAAAAGTCAATGATTAATTTGAACTGGAGGCATATCTTTTAACACACTGCAATCCTAAACTAGTGACAAAGATCAGTGCTGTATGTTAACTACACTGGAAATTTCTAAATCTTTTGCACTGGTTTAGTCGGAGATGTTACCCATAGGTTTCAACGTCCTTCAAGTGGTCTCAAGCAAAATTAATAAAAATATAGATAAAATAAACACACCACCATATATTTTTTTAAAAATCAGGAGGTATTAAACAGAAAATCACAGAAGAAACAGTTCTGAAATTGTATCACGATAACCACCTATAGATGTGCAAAGTGATCCATTGAGAAAGGTAAAGACCAATTTCACTTGATTTATTGAAAATACAATTCAATACTATGTCAGAGGAATTAGTGTCACAGAAGAAGAAAGGAAAAATTTAAAAAAATTTTCCGTCATCACTGTGCTCATTTAAAAATAAGTGTCTCAACCTCTTATTGCAATTTTCTACATGTACACAAGCAAACAATTTCAAACTTTCTACAGAATCAAAGAATCGAGATCATATTTTGAAATTTCCTGAAAAAATGCAAGTTTTAGAAATAATTTTTGTACCCTATCTGAACGTCAGCCTTGGTTGTTACACAATACAATATTTTACAGATGTACTGGCAGTATTAGGGGAACCCAAAATCATTGCAAGATAATAGAAAGGGTTCAGCATTTTTAATCCTGCTTACGTGTTATTGCAGCAGAAAACTGGTTTTGAGGAAATAGAAGTGATGGCAATTTATAGTCGAGTTTTGCCCAAGTGCGCCACAGCATTTAAATTGCATTCTGAAGTCCACTAAGCTGTCGAGCAATGTATGGTGCAGTACTACCACAGCCTGTTAATTGGTCTAGACAAGCCAGAACGACTTTCATAACCACCTAATGCCATATGGTCAGGGAGAACAGACCTCTTGACAAACTGAGTGTTAATGGCCTACAGCAGTGCTGAGAAAGAAAGAAAGAGCCTGTGTACAAAAACTTCAGATTTGGTTCTCCTGCTATTAAACATGCGCGCTTGTTGACTGTTTAAGCTTTTGCAACTATTTTGCTTCACAGAGCATTCCATCACATCAGTCTCCAGAATAGTAAGAATTCCTGCAACTTACCAGACCATTGATTCATTTCATATGTCAAATTATCAATGATTCACCATAAATCAGAACAGTTCACAAATCACACACATTTTTGCCAAATTTAATAAAGTAATAAAGGTACAGTAGTACACACATCTGTAAACATTTATGCTTGAAGAGTCTATAGTGGACAAATCAATTGAAGGAGAGCATGCCATGGAACCATCTACAGAAATTTCAACTTTTTTCCCACAGTATACATTTTTTTTTAAAAAAAAGGAAATTAAATCCAGATTCCCAAGTTTATTTCCAAACTCTCTCAGACAACACCATCATAGCCAAAGGTAAACGAATAACAAATTGAAGCTATAAAAAAATTCAGAAAGGCCAATATAGATTTATAGCAACAAGGCCACAAATAATAATTTTTTTCAGAATAATTAGACCAAAGCTTAATGCTCCCAAATGCTTATTTTGCATTGTTGAAGAGAATGAAAGGCATGAAAAATATTTATTAAAATCCAGTTATATTATTGGTTAGAATGTTAAGGTTGCACATTACTTCACGATCATCAAAATAGTAAATTCTGAATATTGGTGGATTTATTCTTGTATAAAAAGTGATTTTTAACACTCACTGAAATAAATATTCTCACTCCTATGAAGATGTTAGCTCTCTGAAAGGTCAAAATTCCACAAACATTAGTCAACCTCAAACCTAGTGGCCATTTTTATGAGACAGCTTAGAACTAGTCATTGGTTGACTGGTTGATGAACAGAGCCTGATTCTGTTCTTACCCACTGCACTCTAGCAACAATTGCTATCTGACAGTCAGAAGCAAGGACCTAAGCAACCCCAGGGGCGCTTCGGCTAATTGCAGTACCCCATCTCAGCTAAAATCAGGAACTGTTCTTGCTAACTTCCTGTTTTGAAGGGGATGAAATTACGATCTGCTAATGGGGTACTAAAGTAATTTGAGGACTGAAAGTGATTGCTGCAGTGAGCAAGAGTAAATTTTAACAGTCAAACTGACAATTAATACAACCAAAATTTTCCTCTTTACAAATAAAACAATGTTTCCAATAACTAAATCAAACAAATGATTCTCTACATTGTTGAGGACAATACAAGTTTAATCTTCATGATGTAACTCAGCGTTGTGTAGTAAACAGAGCAACCAGTAGTACGTTATTATAGTTCACAAATGTAAAAAACTGCGTACGATAAACATGGAGTTTAGACTTCAAACAAAAGCTGTTTTAAATTGGTTAGTGAATTTTCGATCAGTTAAGTTTACAGACCGAAGTCCAAAGTTTCTATGGTAAGCACATTACTAAATCAAATAAGCTTGTGATTAATTAGCATTAAATTGGCTTAGGAGTGATTAACAAATGATTGGATGACATTTCCACGTGCAACAGATTTTTTTCCTTCAAGAAACAGCAGCCCTTGAAAAATATGACATCCACAACATTGGAATTGCTGTATTCAACATGAATATTACTCCTTTCCACCCTATAAACATGCACTTCAGTCAGAAAATCCACACTTTAGACTAATTAGGAATACAGTTTAGCAAATAATGTATTTCACAATAACAATTACTATTAAAATATAATTTTGATCATTTATTCCAATGCATACTGCAAGTGTGCATGTCCTACCAAAAAGCAGGCTATTTTTTTTTCCACCCTTCACCCCACAAGTTGCAACTGAAAATAGAACATCTCAGTCAAAAAGTTAACTGAACATTTTCTCTGTAGTCACGAATAAACATGATTTTCCTGTTCATGAAGAAAAACAGTGCAGCACACTGGGCTTTCACAGATTTCTTTTGTGAACCAGGTCCATTTGGAAGTACAGATTTGGATAATCAGCCGTCTGGACTGTAGATTTCGAACACATGCCCAAAGCAGAATGAGGCACAAAACAGATTCTCGCAATGTTCATCTTTTACGACTTTGCGTTGTTGTCATTGCTGCCATTTCCAAGCCCCGAGGATGAAGTGCTGATGAAAATAAAATAATAAAGAGGAAATTGGTTTCTACAACACAGTTAAAGCCTGAGTAACAGAGGAGAACCTTAATTATCTCCAGTCACAGAGAGACAGGAAATTTGGTCTTTTAATTAGGTGTTTGGAGTAGGTTCTGATTTTTTTTGCTAGATAATTTAAAAAGGAAATAACCCAAGTCCAACAAGATGAAATTCACATAATCAGAATGCAGATAATTGAATTTCCACAGCATTCATTAATTCAGTGTGTAGGTGTGAGCAGCTTTCTATGATGAGCTGTCACAGCTCTATAAAAATTTGGTCAATTAACAATGCTTTCAAAAAAAATGATGTCCACATTGGATTAAAAACACAAAGTAAGGTATCATATGAAATACCTTTCACAGTTTAAGTCTAAGCCGATCTTTATTCTTATGCTTCCTCTACAGGGAACCTTCGGTTAGAAGTGGCATGCCTGTGAACTGCATCATCAACCGTGTAGTCAGTCTGACCCGATGCACAGGCCTCAATCTCTGTGGTGTTTAATTGCGTCTGCAAGAAGAGGTGCAATCTGCTGTCTGAAAGGAGTACGTTGATCTGCAATACTCTGCAACACAAAACGAAAACCTTGAAAGGTTTCTGTAAATAAATGGATGAGATAGCCTGTAAACCAATAAACTAGTATTTAGTTCAGTTAGAAATGAAGGAAGATTCCTACTTTTGTGCTGTCCTGTAAAGCTTCTTTTTAAGCAGCACATTAAAAACATCAGAACTGCATCAGTCGGTCAATTTGTTAAGGAACTAAGTAACTGAGCCAGGGAGCAGATTCAGTATTCTGCTTATGCCAGGTTAGGGGATTTCAAGCATGGTAACAATACAATTGGGTCAATGTTGGCTTGCAGGAATGCGGATGGGGTGGGAGCATGGATTAGTGTTGAAAAATTCCTGAATGTAGCAGCCCAAATTAGGAGTGCACCTACAGAATCACTAATGCACTTTTAAAAAATCTAAGTGAGCAACAATCAAGGTTTGGCCGTGATGTTCTCCTTTGTCTGGTGACCTCTACAAACGCACAATCTACCAGTACGTACTCTGGACTCACACCAGAGGATTGAATAACAGAGAAAGACAGAGACACACCAGTGCAAGTCAAAAACCAATAAACCTTTGATTCATTGGTTTTGTAGTAGAACTTGTATGTTACTGAACCCCGAAAGATAGGAGATCTTTTGCTCTAAAGTTTCAAAACAAAAAAAAACAAGATCAAAGCAGTTAATTTATTACACAGCAGCAGAAATCTGCAGCCAGGCGTAATACAGCACAAAAGGAGAATTATAAAGCAAGCTACATTTTTAAAAAAGTTGAAGGAGATGTAATTTATTTTGCCTTCAAAACAGTGTAATTTCTAAAACAGAAGTAGTGATTTGGTCATTGAAACTAAGCTTTTTTTTTAAAAAATTAATACAAGTTAATACTTCTACTCAAGCTGAGAAATATCACTACTGGTGTGACAGATGCAAACCTAAGTCAGATACAAGCATAGAGTAAACATTTCCTGTACATTTCTGCTTTCTTCCCAAGAAAAGTGTGACGCATTCCCAACTGTAAGTGTGAATGATTCTAAGGATAAGTGATTTTCACATAACTCATCTGTATCTGTGGTCACAGGTATTGTAATAGAAACATCTTTTCTGTAAAAAGATACATGGATCCTTTGCTCACAGGTCCAAAACATGCTACAGTTGTGAAAGTTTATTCCTTATTGCACAATAATAGTTCTGGCATAGTCACAAACAAGGATTGAAATCATATCAGTGATTAAAAACAAGTTTATTGTCCCTTTAAAATTGAATGAACAAACATCCACCTTTTCAAATCACAATATTGTTTTAAAGTGATTAGCATGGGTGTTAAATGCTTACTTCAGCTGTAGGTAAATGTTGACATCTACAGGAGTCAAGAGCTCTCAGCAATGTCTCACATCACGGAAGGTTTTTTTTCAAATCCAGTCATGGGACAAGAATATCAAGTATTAAGTCAGTATTTGTTGCCCATCCCTCATTGCCCTTAAGAAGGATATGGTGAGCTGCTTTCTTCAGGAATAGCAACATTGTTCCATGTCAAGATGATGTGTGGCTTGGAGAGGTATTTTTTGGTGGTGGTATTCATTACATCTACTGCCCTTGTTCTTCATGGGTTTGTAAGATCTCTTGAAGGAGCCTTGATGAGTTACTGCAGTGCATGTTATAGATGGTACATGCTGTTGCCACTGTGCATCAGTGGTGAATAGGGTGCCAGTCAAATGGGTTTGAGGAGGAATATTTTCTGAGATTTGTGAATGTGTGAAATTCTTTACCACAGAGGGCTGTAGAGACTGGATCATTAAGTATGAGATACACAGATTTTTAACCAGTAAGGAAATACAGAATTATGGGGAAAAGACATAAAAACAGAACTGAGGATTATCAAATCAGTCATGATCACACAGCAGAGGAGACTCAATGAGCTGAATGGCCTACTTCTGCTCCTGTGTTTTATGGTCTAACACAGATTGAGAAGCAACCACCCCAAGATTGGATAGATTTCAAATGAAATTACTAGCATCTGATTTTAGGGAGGATAATTTACATGCATAGAATGCTCTAAAATGTAATAAACATACTATATGTTGTATGCTTATTTTAAAAAAGCTTCCCAAGGCACTTCACAAGACGAAAATTAGACACTGGGCCATGCAAGGGGATATTAAGGCAGATGATGAAAAATGTGGTGAAAGAGGCAGGTTCTTAAGGAATGTCTTTAAGGAATTAACAGAGCTGGAGATGCAGAGAATTTTTTGGTGAGGTAGGGGTGGTTTCCAGAGCTAGAGTCTAGGAAACTAAATGAACCAATTCTGAGGTTAATTAGAAATCAGGGATTGTCAAGATGCCAGAGATATTATAGATCATAGAAAATCACTGAATCCCTACAGTGTGGAAACAGGCCCTTCGGCCCATTTCCGACAGTGGTGGGTATAGGGAAATCAAATAGGAAAAGCAAGTTCTTGGATAGATTTGAAAACATTTTATAAATTACACAATTAATGAATACAAAATAAAAAGAGCTGTAAAGAACATAACAGTTTTCAAAAATATGCACATGAGAAAATACATGCCTGACAAAAGTAAGTTTCACAGGCAAGAGAGTGAGCTGTATGAATCTGTAACACAGAGACTACAAGCTGAATGGCCTTTTTCTGTTCTATATGTTGCAATGATTCTACAAATATAAAAGTTTTCAAAAGTTTTAAAACTTAAACCCAAAATGCACGAAAATATTTATTCCTTAAATGTTGCCATATGGTAAATATGGTTTCTGTCATTTAGTCATGCTGATGTATACAGCCTTTTGTTTACCAGCTAAACAACTGTTGGGAAGATGACAATATGCTATGAATGTTTATCCCAAATAGCACGCAGCTTACTAACATTGTTTATCATTCCTGACATATTGTGTTTTATGCCCGGTTTTGAACAGAATCTCTGCGGCGCAAACAAAGGATGAAATCTAGAAAAAAAACAATTCTGATTTCCTTCAGTGTTTTACTCTGTCCTTTAAAATTTGTGGCAAGATTTTTAACAACTATTGATAAATTGGGATCCTTAGGGTTAAATTACCTCATGCAGCAAATATTCTACCTCAAGTAACTATGGGACCCATTTCCTTAAACATGTTCCAGTACTTAGGAATTTCTTTAGCAGAATCTTTCGCTCATGCTTGAGAGTTCCTGTACCCAGGTTACTAAAATGATATGGTTAATGGAATGTTAGGTCTTATAACTAGAGGGCTAGAATATAAAAAGGGAGAAAGTTTTGCTGTAGCTACAAAAAGTCCTAATTTGCTCACATCTGAAATACAGTGTGCACCACTGGTCCTGCACCTTACGAAAAACCCTTAATTGTATGGAATGTTATGAGAATTCCAAGGCTTAGATCTTAAGGAATTGGATAAACTAGGTTTATATTCCCTGGTATATAGTTAGTCAAGGAGTGAATTAGTTGAGTTTTTTTTAAGAAAGGATTTTGAAACGAGCTGATAGGATATATAAAGAATTGTTTTCCACTGGCAGAGAAGTCTTGGATAAAGAAACACCACCTTAAAAGAAGAACCAGGTCGTCCAGGAGAGAATTTAACAGTGTTCTAAATGTGAAGGGTGTGCACTCTCTTGCACAACAAGCAGTAGTTGCTAGCCTAGTTCGTTTTAAATGAGAGAATGATTTACTATTAAATGAATACTGAAGTAATATTAAGAAACCATCCACACTGCCAGAAGTTACACATTTTAGGAGTTGGCTAAATTAGGAAGACTGTAAATAGATATTTCCCAGCTATTAAATGGCGCCACTTAGAGGCCAAATGGTGACAAGTCACTGCTGCAGGAACAGGGTTTGGACAATAATCCTTAAGATTCACTGCAAAAAATGTTGAAACAGCTATTGCCTTTCCCAAAATATTAATGCTGAATTTGAGCCTTAATACTAGCCATGATCCAAACAATGTTAACTTCACATATGTTGTCTTTTGAGCATTCACCTAAAAAGGATTTCAAATTGAATCAGAGATAGTAGGAACTGCAGATGCTGGAGAATCCGAGACAACAAGGTGCAGGGCTGGATGAACACAGCAGGCCAAGCAGCATCATAGGAGCAGATTTCAAATCACTACTGTCCCCTAGTACAAACTTCTAGAATGCTTTAGGAAATGTTTTCCGTTAACCGGGGAATGCGCACACTTTCTCACAATGAGGTTTATCGCTCACTATGTGCCAAAAGATTTTTTTCTCTCCTGTGTACAGCTTCAGATGTAATATACATGAAAAATTGATTGAAAATGTATTTTGTTTTATATAACCCTTTGAAGTCCCTGCTAATGGTGAGTGGGATGATATACTTAGAACATGGTCACAGCAATGTTCATGTTCAAACATATGCTAATATGCACTTCCACTCACTCAATCTAAAATCTAACCATTTCAGTACAGAGAAATTGAGTGAAATCTGTTGTTACATTACCAAAGACAGACAGAGCTACACATTATCAAGAGGAGCAAGTTTACAAAATGAAAGCCACAGTTCTTACCCTTGATATATTTATTTAGGGGAATAGCCTATTAGAGATTTTTGTTTTCTGACCAATGAACATAGTATTGAAGTGCGAAAACATAACATCAGAATATAATAAAATAAAGAATTGCAGACGATGGAAATTGGAAACAAAAACAGAAATTTCTGGAGAAACTCAGCAGGTCTGGCAGGTTCTGTGGGAAGAAAACAGAGTTAACATTTTGAGTTAAGTGACTCGAAACATTACCTCAGCTTTCTTCTCACAGATGCTACCAGACCTGTGGAGTTCCTCCAGCAATTTCTATTTTACATCAGTATTCAATGTAGCTACTAAATAAAACTATTGTTTAAAAGACTGATTAGTTCCTATCTGTAATTTGGTTGTAGACGAGAGTAAATTTCCTCATGCAGGTGGCATTTTGTGATTGCCAGTTTCATTTGATTGCCATTTTGGAATTAATTTCTGTCCCAAGTACTTCCACTCCCATGAATCTAGTTGCGAGGATAAATATTTGAAACAGAATTGCATGTTCTTGGATAAACCAGTAAATTCATTAGAGAGAAAAAGAAAAAAAAAACCCGAAAGAACTGCAGA